GTCTATATACGAGGTGGTTGTATCACGCTCGGGTCCATATACGAGGTGGTTGTATTAGGACTATCTAATAATTTCTCTATACACCCACACATCATATTCTAATGAAATAATAGCGACCACAAAAGGTTAATTACAGAAATACAATTTATTTTGTGTTTAGAAGCTTGGATTTGGAATTGTTTAAGAATCCAAACCTCCAATTTGGTGCTCCCAAACGGTACAACAAAGTAAATGAATTTAAATCCATATACAGTAAGGACACAATAACCAAACTCTTGGCAAGATTGAAGACCATTTCAGTAAATTGTCACAGAACACAAGTTCAAAGTGAAGTTTTATTTTTTTATTTTTTTATTTTTTACTACAGGTACAAGAACAATGAAAGAAGAGATAACCCCTCTTTCTAACATGCTCAAATCCCTTATAAACAGCAACAGAAGTATAAAATCATATATTTAACAAGACCTTAAAAGAACTCCTATTATCACCCAAAACAATCATATCTCACTTGAATTAGCACCAAAGTCAGCTCAGCAAACAACGCATTAAAACGCAGTCGCTTTCGATCATCAAAAAACCAATCAATATCTGAACAATTTCACTGCAAACAGAGAAAAAAAAGAAACCTTTAATAATATTTCCAGTGAATCTAAAAACATCAATCAAAAATGACACTAGACATCCACAACCCATGTGTCAGCTGTAGATAACTAGGGGGGGAAACAAAAAAACAATAGATCCTCTAGTAGAAGTCATACAAAGTAGTTCCTCATCATATAAACATAAGTATTATGTTCCTCGTATGGACATGAAGAAAGCTTTAATAATATTTCCAGTAAAATTAAAAACATCAATCAAAGATGACACTAGACATCAACCAACCCATGTGTCAACGGTAGATCCTCATAACTAGGGAGAAAAAAAACCATAGATCCTCAAGTAGAAGTCTTACAAAGTAGTTCCTTATCATATAAAAATAAGTATTATTCAAAATCCATTTGTGCATCTGAAGCAATGAAAAAGAATATATTTACAACAATACACATCATTCTAAACCAGAAAGAAAGCTAATATTGACCTCTATCACGTGAGAGCTAAAATTGCAGGTGAGGGAAATCAGAGAGATGCATTTCCTGTTCATGCGAGATTTTGTTTGAGAGGAAATGTCGTGCATTGTGTGGCAATGAAGCATGCCCACGATAAAGAATGCCCACGGTTGAAGAAGATTTGCTATCCTACATGATCGTTGGAATTATATATAACTTTTGAGTGGCAGTTGTTTTTTTGGGGGTTACATTAATTAGTGCGGACTTAAACCCTACACGATCACTGGTTCCAAGTCCTAGTAATCACGATTAAGCCAATCAAGTAATATGTGGAGAGATTGGTTCCAAGTCCAAGTCCTATTCTTTGCTCTCTTTTTTGTTGAGGCATGAGGAGAGATTGTGTTAGAAATTAAACTTTATTTTATTTTAAAATGTCTTTGAAGGTCATGGTTGTTTTTTTATTTGATGTTTTATATTTATGTGAGTTTTTTTTATTGGAGTTAGTGAGGGGCATGAGAGTTACAATTAGTAAATGATATGTTAGTGGGGTGTTAATTTTCATTTTCATTTATATTTTGAAGCCTACATAAACCCATGCATGTACTCATTTTCAATCAAGTGAAATAAAAAGTGTTCTTCCTCCATTTTTATTCTCTTCCAAATAGTATAGAGTTGTGTGTGTAATTAGGCCACTATTTCCAACAAAGTGGTATCAAAGCTAATTTGTGAGAGAAAGAAGAAATGACAAACAATTCGATTCCATTTCAAATGCCTCGATTCACCAAAGATAACTATGAAAATTGGTGTATCCGTATGAAGGCAATTTTGGGAGCATAAGATGTGTGGGAAGTTGTTTCCAAAGGTTATGATAAGCCAGAAGATGAGGCAACTTTGTCTCAAGCCGAAAAAGATGTTTTACAAGCCATGAGAAAGAAGGACCAAAAGGCGGTGATGACCATCCATCAATGTTTGGATGATGGAATGCTACAAAGAGTTTCTAGTGCAGAAAATGCAAAGCAACTATGGGAGATTCTTCAAAACTCCTTCCAAGGAGTTGATAAAGTGAAGAAGGTTCGCCTCCAAATGTTGCGAGGTGAATTTGAAGCATTGCATATGAAGGAATCTGAATCAATTTCAGATTATTTTTTGAGGGTCCTGGCTATTGTAAATCAACTAAGAAGATATGGCGAAACCACCATAACTGATACAAGGGTCGTTGAAAAGATCCTTCGATCGTTGGATTCCAAATTCAACTACATTGTTGTAGCCATTGAAGAGTCAAAGGATTTGGATTCCATGACTGTTGATCAACTCATGGGTTCGTTGCAAGCTCATGAAGAAAAGGTGGTGAAGAAACAAGAAGCTTTGGAGCAAGTGCTACAAACAAAGTTTTCATTGAATGAAAAAGACGAAAAACATGGAGGAAATCAAAGGGGCCGAGGACGTGGAAATGCACGTGGCCGAGGAAGAGGAAGAAGCCGTGGAAGAGGAGAAAGAAGCGGTCAACACACAACCAGCAATGAAGAAAAAGTCCATGACTCACAACAACTAAGAGGTCGTGGTAAAGGAAATTACTCAAGCTCATATGGAAGGATGTATGATAAGTCTCAAATTCAATGTTACAATTGTCAAAAATATGGTCATTATGCTTTGGAATGTAGAAATGTTGTTAACGATGTTGAAGAAAAGGCTAATTATGTTAATGAAGAAGTGGAGCCTACTTTGTTGTTGGCATACAAAGGTGAAATGAGTGAAGAAGATGTGTGTTATCTTGACACCGGTGCAAGCAACCATATGTGTGGTAGCAAAGAGAAGTTCGTTGATATTGATGAATCAATAAATGGTAAGGTGACATTTGAAGACTTATTACAAATTCCGGTAAGAGGGAAAGGTAAAATATTGATTCGTTTGAGGAATGGGCATCATCAATTTATCTCTAATGTTTATTATATGCCTAATATGAAGAACAATATTTTGAGTTTGGAACAACTCTTAGAAAAAGGCTACAATATTTCCATGAAGGATTGTAGTCTTTCGATAAGAGACCCATTGGGTAATTTGATTGCCAAGGTTCCAATGACAAAGAACTGGATGTTTTTGCTAAATATTCAAGCCAACGAGGCTAAATGTTTGAAGGCTTGTTTTAATGATTTAACTTGGCTTTGGCACTTGAGACTTGGGCACTTGAATTTTGGAGGATTAAAGTTGTTGGCCAAAAAGAAGATGGTGAAGGGATTGTCTTTCATTAGCAATCCAAATCAATTGTGTGAAGGATGTCTCGTTAGAAAGCAATCAAGGAAAAGTTTTCCTAAAGAAGCTACCACAAGAGCTACGGCACCACTACAACTTATCCATTCGGATGTTTGTGGTCCAATTTCTCCATCATCATTTGGTAAGAATAATTATTTTTTATTATTCATTGATGATTTTAGCCGAAAAATATGGGTGTATTTTCTTAAACAAAAATCGGAGGTGTATAGAATTTTTAAGAAATTTAAAGCACTTGTTGAAAAACAAAGTGGCTATGATATAAAGGCTCTTCGATCCAATAGAGGTGGTGAATTCACCTCAAATAATTTCAAAAAAATTTGTGAAGAAAATGGAATTCACCATCCTTTAACGGTTCCGAGATCGCCCCAAGAAAATGGAGTTGCAGAAAGGAAGAACAGAACCATTCTCAATATGGCTCGAAGCATGTTGAAAAGCAAGGAAATGCCTAAAGAATTTTGGGCTGAAGCGGTTGATTGTGCGGTGTACTTGTCCAACCGGTCTCCTACTAGAAGTGTGCAAAACAAAACACTACAAGAAACATGGAGCAGAAGGAAGCCAAGTGTTTCTCATTTGTGGGTTTTTGGGAGCATTGCCCATGTGCACGTGCCGGATGAAAGGAGGACCAAGTTAGACAACAAAAGTGAAAAAATGGTGTTCATTGGCTATGATGCAAATTCCAAAGGTTACAAGTTGTACAATCCAAACAATGGGAAGATTGTCATTAGTAGAGATGTTGAATTCGAAGAGGGAGCCACATGGGATTGGAACACTCCAAATGAAGATTATAATATTTTTCCAATTTCTGATGAGGAGCAAGAAAATGAAGGCATGGAGCAGCCCATTTCTCCACCAACATCACCTCTACCACCATCAATTCAAGATCAATCAACTCCATCATCATCAAGTTCAAGTAACACACCACCACTTCGCATGAGGAGTTTTCGTGACGTATATGACGAAACAGATGAGGTAACGGAAAGGTTAGGTGATCTAACACTTTTTTGTCTCTTTGCGGATTGTGAACCCGTAAGATTTGAAGAGGCGGCACAAGACAAAAAATGGAGAAATGACAAAAAATGGAGAAAAATGGATGAAGAAATTAAATCCATAGAGAAGAATGACACATGGGAGCTTGCTACACTTCCAAAAGAGCAAAAGTCAATTGGTGTCAAATGGGTGTATAAAGCAAAGAAGAATGCAAATGGTAAAGTTGAAAAATATAAAGCAAGATTGGTCGCCAAGGGGTACAACCAAAAGCCCGGGATTGACTATGATGAGGTATTTGCACCCGTAGCTCGTTTGGAAATCATTAGATTGTTAATTTCTTTGGCAGCCCAGAACAATTGGAGAATCCACCAAATGGATGTGAAATCGGCTTTCTTGAATGGGTTTCTTGAACAAGAAGTGTATGTTCAACAACCCATGGGCTATGTTGTAAAGGGGCAAGAAAACAGAGTCTTGAAATTGAAGAAGGCTTTACATAGCTTGAAGCAAACACCAAGGGCGTAGAATAAGCGAATTAATAAATATTTTCAAGACAATAATTTTTCAAAGTGCCCATATGAACATGCTCTTTACTCCAAAGTAAGTGAGAATGGAGATGTATTTTTTGTTTGCTTGTATGTGGATGTTTTAATCTTCATAGGTAGCAATCCAAAAATATTTGAAGATTTCAAGAAGGTTATGGCTCGAGAGTTCGAGATGACAGATATTAGTATCATGGCTTATTATCTTGGCATTGAGGTCAAGCAAATGAAGGATGGAATTTTCATTCACCAAGAAGGCTATGCTAAGGAAATTCTCAAGAAATTCAAGATGGAAGATTGTAAATTGGTGAACACGCCCATGGAAGTTGGAATTAAATTGTCAAGAGATGAAGATAGAGAGACGGTGGATCCAATATTTTTCAAAAGTCTTGTTAGAAGCTTGAGATACTTAACATGCACAAGGCCAGACATATTATTTGCGGTTGGCTTGTTAGTCGGTTTATGGAAAGACCCACCATAACTCATTTCAAGGCGGCTAAGAGGATTCTTCGTTACATCAAAGGTACCCTTGATTTTGGGTTATTCTATTCATTTACTAATGATTTCAAGCTTGTGGGTTATTCTGATAGTGATTGGGCCGGAGATTTGGATGATAGAAAAAGCACTTCTGACTATTGTTTTTTCATGGGAAATGTTGCTTTTACATGGTGTTCAAAGAAGCAACCCATTGTCACCCTCTCAACTTGTGAAGCAGAATATGTTGCATCCACTTCATGTGTTTGTCAAGCAATTTGGTTGAGGAATTTGTTGAAGGAATTACACATGCTATAAGAAGAGTCAACGGAGATTTTTGTGGACAACAAATCAGCAATTGCTTTGGTCAAGAATCCGGTGTTTCATGAACGAAGCAAGCATATTGATACAAGATTTCATTTCATTAGAGAATGCATAACTAAGAAGGAGGTGGAGCTCAAGTTCATCAAGTCACAAGATCAAGTTGCGGATATTTTCACCAAGCCCCTCAAGTTTGCAGATTTTCACAAGTTAAGGAGTTTGCTTGGAGTTGAAAAAAAATCAAGTTTAAAAGGGGGTGTTAGAAATTAAACTTTATTTTATTTTAAAATGTCTTTGAAGGTCATGGGTGTTTTTTTATTTGATGTTTTATATTTATGTGAGTTTTTTTATTGGAGTTAGTGGGGGGCATGAGAGTTACAACTAGTAAATGATATGTTAGTGGGGTGTTAATTTTCATTTTCATTTATGTTTTGAAGCCTATATAAACCCATGCATTGTACTCATTTTCAATCAAGTGAAATAAAAAGTGTTCTTCCTCCATTTTTATCCTCTTCCAAATAGTATAGAGTTGTGTGTGTAACTAGGCCACTATTTCCAACAGATTGTATTTTTTTGGATGAGATCATGGACTTTTTGGGGTCATTGGGTCCATAGATCTCATCTTCTTCTCTTTTTTTCCGTTTTGTACAGTTCTTCGGACACGTTCCCTTTTGAACGCCTTCTATTACAATTTAGTTATAAAAAAAAAAAAAAAGTAATATGGTAAATGGTACTATAGCCACCCATATTCATGGCAAGCAAGAAGCTCAGACAGGTCATTGATAGCAATACAGAAGCTCAGACAGGTTATAGTGCTATGCAAAAAGAATGGAGCTCAATGAAATTTTGAATTATTATTTCAAGATGGATAGAAGATGCTAAGGGTTAGTCCAAAAAAATCCAAAATGAGCACCTTATAAGTTATATCTCAACAATATCAAACAATTTATATAAGGAACTCAGAAGATCGAAGTTTTCTGGATGTCAAATTATTGTTATACATCACAATAATGCAATATATGCTCCAATATCTATTAAAAGAGTCGTTTCACTGTCGGCAACCTCTCTCTCCTCTTTTTCACTCTCTACTTTCTACTTTCTCGGAACAAGTTGTCTTAATTAAACCAAAACGAAGAAAATTCAAGCGGATTCAATCTCAAGCTTTCCATTTTCAATAATCTGTGAGGAAACCCCTCAAAACACCCCCCCCCCCCCCCCAAAAAAAAAAAAATCCCAGAATCAGATGGCAACACCTAAGTATAAAAAGTGCATCCATAGATGACTATAAAGTGCTACAAGTTGTCAAAGAGTAAATTTCATTGTGGGTGAACATATTGATGTTAATAGATAGATCATGTTATTCTTATTTTTAAAATAATACCTTAGAAAGATGTTATACATATAGGAAGCTAAATTTCAATAACTAAGGCTACTAATAACTTTCTCGGAACAAGTTGTCTCCATTAAACCCAAACGAAGAAAATTCAAGCGGATACCGCCATGTATTCAATCCCCCCCCCCCCCCCCTAACATGGTGGTATTCGCTTGAATAACTATGGCTACTAACATGTTAGGTTAAAAAGATGTTAGGGTAAAAAGAGGATCGATTGATGGCTCAACATTGCATTCACATGAGATAAAGTATCATAAATCAGCAAAATTCCATTAATCAACAATTAATAAAGTGAATCCTAAAGGATTTGCAAAGTACTTCCTCTTCATCATTCAACTATTAATAAAGTGACGAAATTACCTAACTAGCCTCTAACAATGTGAATGATTAAGTTTTAAAAAAAATGATTTGGAATAACAAAAATATCCAAAATTGAGTTAAGACTTTAGGATCTATTGGAATAATCCAACTCATTTTTCCCTAGACCAAAATAAACTCAATATAATTTTGTACAGAAAAAATGGGATATTGGTCAAACTAAAACCGACTTCAGTCCATTTTGTAACTGACAGGGCAACTTTCGAACAATTTGCACGAAAAGATGGCGTTGCGCGCCTGTTGTTGTAACAAGCAAGAGGACTCCCCCACTAAGAACATCAAAATCTGATGTTTTTATTTATACCAACAATAAATTCAACTGATCTTTACAAAGCCTTTTCCTAACTATTTTAGGTCAGCTAAATGGATTCCAATTAACGTCTTTTATGTCATATAATCTAAATCGACCACATACTGTCATACTTTGATTTACAATTTTCATTATTATTATTATTATTTATTTATTTTTTTAAAGTTGGTAATATGACAAAAACAATTCCAGCCAAGTTTTGCCAAAAATTCCTCCCCTCCGACCCATTAAAAAAACACACAAAAACACGAGCCTATACACCAAGATCCCAAGCCAAAGCAAAAATTGATACATCACAAATAAAAATGTAAAAATTCAAATGATCAAATAAAGAACAAACATAATAGGTTTATACAAATGTGTCAAATAAGTATTCATACCAAATGTTTGAGATACAGATCAACAAACTAAGTTTGCAAGAAAAAGAAAACAACATCAAGAACTAATAGACTTAAAAAAAATACATAGATAATCACTAACAAATTTTATGATCGTAATTGCAACTTACGAGGACATATTGGCATGTGCTTCTTAAGGGCTAGGTCATCAATGAAGGTGTTGAAGCATTTTTGGCATTCAAATCCATCATGTGTTGCCCCCGACTTGACGAGCTTCCCCTTGTCAATCAAAACAGGCATGCCAGGCCATGGATAATGCTTTACCATTAGAGCTAGTTTGCCTTTGGGCTTTGGATTCTTTTTCTTATCGGATCCTCCTCTATTCTCATCATTATGTTTCTTTTGGATATGTGCCCTAAGCTCCTTCGGATGGTCATACCACCGAATGATGTGCTTCTCTCCATAAAGCCAGGAGAAGCAAAAATACTTCTGTTGAAATTCGGCTAAAGATAAGAATTAGTTCATCTTTTGAGACAAGTTCTTTCTCCTTGTTCCAGAGAATTAAAACCAATTCATAGAAGGGTACAATTAATAGATCAGGATTTCGTCCTTCTACAGTGATGGAACCATCTACCTCGTCCGAACCTAGGTCACCAACGAACTTTCTGCCTCATCTCTTTTGGATTTGACTAGAAGACTTGTTAGTGGCTGATACATTTGAGGGATCGGGATTCGGCTCAATTGGAAAACCGGGCTCTGAACCTGGGTTACGGTTGGGATCTAGATTTTCCTCCTCCGAACCTAGGTCGCCGATGAAGCCTTCTGCCTCATCTCCTTTAGATTTTACCATAAAAGGATTGGGCCCGATTGAAAAATCGGGCTCTGAACATGGGTCACCTTTCGAATCTAGATTTGGTCCACCTATAGGGATGGAGTCTTCGACCTCTTGACATGGGTCACCTTTCCGATTTAGATTCAGCCCTCCTACAGTGACGGAGTCCTCGGCCTCTCCCGAAAAGATGTCGCCCATGTTGCCTTTTGCCTTATCGCCTTTGCATTTAGAGGCTCAATAGGAACTGATGATATCAACCTTCTATTCCACTAAGAACATCAAAATCTGATGTCTTTATTTATACCAACAATAAATTCAACTGATCTCTAAAAAGCCTTTTTCTAACTATTTTAGGTCAGCTAAATGGATTCCAATTAACCTCTTTTATGTCGTATAACCTAAATCGACCACATACTGTCATACTTGGCTTTACAATTTTCATCATTCTTTTTTTTTTTTTTTCTTTTTTTTTTTTTTTTTAATGTTGGTAGTATAACAAAAACAATTTCAACCAAGTTTCACCAAAAATTCCTCCCCTCTAACCTATAAAAAAACCACACAAAAATCCAAACCTATACGCTTAGATCCCAAGCCAAAACAAAAATTGATACATCACAAACAAAAATGTAAAAATTCAAATGATCAAACAAAGAACAAACATAACAGAGTTATACAAATGTGTTAGATAAGTATTCATACCAAATGTTTGAGATACAGATCCACAAACTATATCTGCAAGAAAAAGAAAACAACATCAAGAACTAATAGACTTAAAAAAAAATTATATATATGATCACTAACAGATTTTATGATCGTAATTGCAACTTACGAGGCCAGATTGCCATGTGCTTCTTAAGGGCTAGGTCATCAATGAAGGTGTTAAAGCATTTTTGGCATTCGAATCCATCATGTGTTGCCCTCGACTTGACGAGCTTCCCCTTGTCATCCATAACGGGTATGCCATGCTATAGATAATGATTTACCATTAGAGTTAGTTTGCCTTTCGGCTTCGGATTCCTTTCCTTGCCGGATCCTCTTCTATTCTCATCATTGTGTTTCTTCTGCATGTGTGCCCTAAGCTCCTTCAAATGGTCATACCATCGAATGATGTGCTTCCTTCCATAAAGGGATTCCTACTGAAGATAAGAATCAGTTCATCTTCTGAGACGAGTTCCTTTTCTTGCCCCTAAGAATTAAAACCAATTCATACAAGGGTACAATTGATAGATCAGGATTTGGTGTTCCTATAGTGACGGAACCTTCTGCCTCGTCCGAACCTAGGTCGCCGATGGAACCTTCAGCCTTATCTCCTTTGGATTTGACCAGAAGATGCTCGTTAGTGGTTGATACATTTGATGGATCGGGATTCAGCTCAATTGGAAAACCAGGCGCTAAACCTGGGTCACGGTTGGGATCTAGATTTGCCTCTTCCGAACCTTGGTAGCTGACGGAGCCTTCTGCCTCATCTCCTTTGGATTTTACCATAAAGGGATTGGGTCCGATTGGAAAACCGGGCTCTGAACATGGGTCACCATTCGGATCTAGATTTAGCTCACCTACAGTGACAGAGTCCTCGGCCTCTTTACATGGGTCACCTTTTGGATCTAAATTCAGCCCTCCTACAGTGACGAAGTCATCGGCTTTTTTCGAAAAGGGTCGCCCACGTAACCTTTTGCCTCATCGCCTTTGCATTTTACCAGAGGCTCAATAGGAACTGATGATATCAACCTTCCTTTCCACTAAGAA